AGGTTGGTCCATATATACTTCTTCCTCAAGCTCTCCATTCAGAAAGGCGATTTTCACATCCATTTGGTGAAGCTCGAGATCATACTGAGCCACCAAAGCCAAAACAAGTCTTAGAGAATCCTTCTTTGAAACTGGAGAGAAGGTCTCTTTGTAGTCGATGCCGTCATTTTGGGTGAAACCTTTAGCAACAAGGCGAGCCTTGTACCTTTCAATGTTACCTTTCGAGTCGCGTTTAGTCTTAAAGACCCAATTAGAACCAACAGTTTTGAAACCGTTAGGAAACTCTACTAAGTCCCATACTTTATTATCATCCATAGACTTTATCTCTTCTTTTGAAGCAATCAACCACTTTTCAGAATTGTCACTTTCCATGGCTTTCTGGAATGACTTCGGGTCTTCATCAATGCTTATGTCACATTCACTTTCAATAGCATAAACCACATAGTTATTTGAAATGGCAGATCTTCTTTCCCTTCCAGATCGCTGCAATGGTTCTTGTGGTTCACTATTCTATTCTTGAATTATGACTGGTTCATTAAATGTAGTCTCAACTAGTGGGGTTTGTACATCATTATGGTGTTCTATTGTGCCATTTAACTGTGATGCAACAATAGGAACATCAACCTTAGGTACAATACCAAGTGGAGGGACTTCAACTTGTATTTCTTGAATGTCAACCTTTCTTGGTTCACCACTTCCACTAGTTTCACCATTCTCAATGAACCGAGCATTACCCGTCTCAACTATTCTCGTACTATGGCTAGGACAGTAAAAAGTATACCCCTTTGATTTTTCATGATAGCTAATGAAAAATCTACTGACAGTCTTAGAATCAAGTTTCTTTTCATGTGGGTTATATAGCCTTACTTCTGCTGGACAACTCCAAACACGTAAATGCCTTAAGCTAGGTTTCCTTCCCGTCCACAATTCATAAGGGGTCTTACGAACTGCCTTACTAGGAACCCGGTTAAGGACATATGTTGCAGTCCTTAATGCATATACCCACAAAGAAAGAGGTAAAGAACAATTACTTAACATGCTCCTAACCATATCCATTAAAGTACGATTCCGCCTCTCAGCTACACCATTCTGCTGAGGTGTACCAGGCATTGTATACTATGCACAAATGCCTTTCCTTTCAAGTAACTTTGCAAATGGACCTGGACATTGTCCACTTTCATCGAATTTTCCATAAAACTCACCACCTCTATCTGACCTCACAACCTTTACTTTTCTATCTAACTGTCTTTCCACTTCATCAATGAATACCTCTAGGGCATTCACTGACTTAGACTTTTCATGCAATAAATATGTATAACCATAACGTGAGTAATCATCGATAAAGGTGATAAAGTACTTTTCACCGCTCCAAGAAGGAGCATCAAAAGGGCCACATATATCGGTATGTATTAACTCAAGAAGTTGAGTGCTTCTAGTGGCTGGTTTCCTTACAATATGCTTAGTTTGCTTTCCTTTAATGCAATCTATGCATACATTTAGGTCACTGAAATCCAATTGAGGAAGAATCTCATTCTTTACCAATCTCATCATCCTTTCTTTGGAATTGTGATCTAATCTTTGATGCCACAAGAAAGCAGAACTTTCATCAGATGCACTACGCGTAATGCCTCGACTTTCAATATTAAATAGGGATTCAGAGAACTTTGAATCGAGATTGAACTTGTATAGTGAATCAAACAAAGTACCACTACCATAAAAGTAATCATTCCGGTACAATGAAAAAACACCATGTCCAACCCTAAAGTCAAAACCTAAATTGTCCAATCTACTTATGGAAATAAGATTTCTAGCACATTCAGGTACATAGAGACACCCTTCGAGATCCAAATGACACTTAGTGTCCATGATCAATCTATATGTCCCAATGCCTTCTATTCCTGCCTTCATCTTGTTTCCCATGAACAAATACTGTTCAGGTCCTCTTATGGGCTGGATCGAACTGAATCCCTGTTTAATATGAGACACATGAGTAGTGGCACCAGAATCTAACCACCAAATATTATTAGGCACTTCAATAAGGTTCACTTTAGAGCAAACATAAACCTGGTGTTTACCTTTCTTATCGAACCACCTTTCTTTTCGGACAATCTTTCTTGAAGTGTCCCATTTGCTTGCAAAAAAAACACTTCTTTTCCTTATGGATTTTACTTTCAGGTCCTTCCATGAAAGCCTTTCCTTTGTCCTTTCTACTTGGTTTTCCTTTATTGCTGCTAGCACTTCCATGACTTACGAGGTTTGCAACTTGATCCTTCATCTTCTTTAATCTTCCTTCCTCTTGAACCAGCATAGCTTTTAATTCCTTAAAGTTCCATTTATCCTTAATGGTGTTGTAATTCACCTGGAACTGGCTAAACTCAAAAGGTAGAGAGTTCATGATGAACTGGACCAAGAACTGTTCATGAACCTCCATTCCCAAGGTCATTAACTTTGCTGCCAAGTTAGATATGTGTGTCACATGATCATGGATTGGCTGAGACCAGTCAAACTTTCTTGTAGTAAGCTCGTTCATTAAGCTTCCTACAATTGACTTGTCAGCCAAATCCGAGTGGGAACACTCCTTAATTTTCTGTAAGAATTCCCTTGCTTTCTCTGTCTTAGGCATAGATGGCTTAATACTTTCCGCCATCGTCATCCTCATGAGGTTCAAACTCAGCCTGTTAGATCGCTCCCATCTCTCATATCGAGACTTTTCAGATTCTGAGCTATCTACTGTAATGGCTGAGGGTTCCTCATCAGTTAGTATGGCAGAGTCCAATGCCATAACACCCAGAGTAAACCGGATCTGTTCGGACCATTCTCCATAATTAAGCCCATTGTACTTAAGACAGAGTTAGCAGATGTAAACAAATTTGATGAAGCTGCAAACATTTATACATGCTTACCCATTAGTGTTTTGAGACTTTAATACAGATACAAAATCCGTAATAAAAACTTTAAAGTATGAATTTAAGCAACCTTTGGGCAATACTTAAATGCATACACTTTCATCGATGCTAAATTTAAACTTTTATAATTAATCAAATCACACACAAGTCAAATAAGTACAGTAAAACCTCTATAAATTAATAATGTCAGGACCATAATATTTTATTAATTTATCGTGATATTAATTTATCTATAATTATTAATTTATAAAGAAAGATTATTTTTCGTCCGTATTCTTCTTAATTTTTTTTTGAAATGATGTTATATTTAAGAACTTAAACTCATATGTTTATAAAATGGCATGCACAAACTTAAAATTATGATTAAAATCATAGCAATCACAATAGAATAGTTATTTCTACTTGTTAATTGTGGACTGAATTATCTATATAAATGTTCATTAGTACAAAATTTAGAAAAAAATATGGCTACTATGTTTAATGTTAGTGCTGAAATTGAAGACAATACCATAATATAATTTGAAAACAGTTACGAGTAAAAAAATCAATTATATAATCTAAATTTTTTCACAAATTTTGAATGGAGTTAAAAAAAAAAACAACATTTAAAGTTATTAATGTTAATAATTAAAGAGATGAACTTAGATAATAACAAAGAACATATTAATCATATTTTAGTATATTATATCTTATTTATATATACATAAATTTTTATAATTATTAATTTATGTTTATGTTGGGACCATAAATTTACATAAGAGTTTCAAAAAAATTATTATCTTATTATCTTATCGAATTTGATGGATTTTTACATTGGCCCAACTCGGAACCAGAGAAATTTATTAATTTATAGTGATTATTAATTTATCGAGTATTAATTTATAGAGGTTCTACTGTATGCTACTTTTGGGTATACATATTATTGCCTATAGTAAGAAATGATTAATCCTTTTCGTATTACTAATTATATTCAATGATCCACCTTTGGGTGATCTCCTAGAATATAGATAGTAAAATAATTGATCAATCAAAAACTTTAATGTCATTTATAGCATCTCTTTAATCATGATCAATTTAAAATTTTTTATGACATTTTAATGTATATATGTAATATAATAAGGCCATTTTGATGGCTAGCATGTTATATACATTACAAACATTAAAACTTTAATGGATAAAAAATATTTTTATATTGTGTTAATATTTCATAACACAAATTACCCTTTAACTTATATGCACAGCGGAAATTTTAAATTATCCATGATTATGGATTCTGTTCACATTTATGAATCCATTCATGCAAATATTTTATCATTTTCTACATACGTGTCTTAATTTACTACATAGAAAACGTTATTATGCAGTGGTTTTATTCTTCTTAAGTCATTCAATTTTAATGGTGTTTACTCTAATTATGACTTTTTATTCAAAATCAAAAAACACCATTTGATCGAAACCACTTGATCGAAACAGTGTCTTAAACAGTTTTAACAAACACCAGAATTTTATATAGAATTTTATAAGAAAAATCGCATTTTAAACCTTCAAGGTTGGAAAAAATAACAGTTTAAACCTTGATGAAATTTCACTCACACTTTAAACCTTCATACTATTTATACTTACACTTTAAACCTTCAATCTGGCCAATTTGTTCGCGTCGCCGCCGAGCTTGACGGAACAGTAACGCGCTGTCACGGAATAATTAACTTCCGTTTAGTTTACTAAAACGTGGATAATTTCAAAATTATTTTTAATCAAAACTAATTACTCAAATAATTTTTATCAATTAAAAAAAAGAAAAACAGAATAACCAACCAAATAAAAAAACTCAACTCGATTTGGGAATAGGGTTCGTAGTTGTTCTAAAACCCAGAAAATTGAAGGAGAGAAATAAGAAGTATTGGTGACAGAAAACGGACGAAGAAGACCATATAAAGAAGAAAAGGTAAGTCTTTTATCTAATTAGTTTCTTTTCTGCTATTGTTGGGGACGAAGAAGACCATAGTTTTTCGATATGGGAATCTCAAAATGGGATTTTCTGTGTGTCATGTAGCTGTGGCTGGTGATAAAAAACGTTGTTTGTTTATTTAGCAGATGGCTCATAGTGCAAGTTCATCAACCAATTCATTTAAAAACGAGACTGGTGTTTTATGTAATTGTAACCGATCAGCTAAAATTGTGAGAGCCTGGACAATTGACAACCCTGGAAGGAGATTCTACAGTTGTAGAGGGCGTAAGTTTGCTAACGGATACGAAAATTGCAACTTTTTTCGCTGGTTTGATGTGGAGAAACCACAAGGATGGCAACATGAAGCACTATTGGAGGCAAGGAATACCATTCGTGAGCAAAAAGAGGAGATCAAAGGTTTAAGAAACACGGTCAGAGCTCTAACTCATGGAGGTGAAACTATGGAAGGTGAGACCATGGAAAACAGGAGTGAAGTAATGGAGAAGATGAAGCAAAAAATGGATGAGTATGAAGCACTTAAGCTAGAGGTGCTGATTCTACGTGAAAGAAGTACGATATTACGCAATGTTCTTTTAACTTCGTCGGTTGGATTTGTAGTGGTAATAGGAATAATGGCGATGTGGAAGTGGTAAGATTCTGTTATGCTTTCCCGGGATTGCAAAATCATGTATTTGTTATGCTTTTAATTTAGAAGACTATATGTAAGGATCATTTAAGTTGTTGGTTCATCTTGGTATTATGCAATGAATTTTTAGTTTATATGGTGCTTGATTTCATAATGCAAAAGCTATACAAGCATTAGGACTGTTTAATGCAACAAAAATATACAGACAAATTGTAATGAAAAATCTGTTACATAACCGATAATTAAGACTAAACTAGCAAAACAATAAAAAACGGTGTTTGATTTCATAACAAACTAGCAAAAAAATAAAAAATGGTGTTTGATTTCATAAGGAAAAAGCCAGACAAGCATTAGGACATTGTTTAATAGTCAATTTATCTCCATTCCCTATGCCAAGATCTTGCTTAAGCTTCCTCACAAACCAACCCCAAGTGTCTTTGTTTTCGCCTCTAACTACTGCCCATGCAATAGGGTACATCCTATTATCAGCGTCTCTACCAACAGCTGCAAGCAAATCTCCATTCAACTCCCATTTGAGGAAACAACCATCTAAACCAATCACCAGTCTACAACAATTTTTCCAAGTATTACGTAATTCTTCAAAGCAGATGTAGAAGCAATCGAACATGTTTACGCCATTGACATCGACAGTATTAAGCTCCGTGGTGATACGCGGATGTGTTCGTATGAGCTCAGCCTCATAATCCCAGAGTTTACCAAATTGAGTAGTTTGAGCTTCAAGAATAGAATCCAATGCAATACGTCTTCCTCTATAGCACTTAGACATTTGTATATGCCTCTTTCTCTGGTCTTACCATTGAACCTTCCTCAAAGAGTAACCTAAAACGAGCATCGTTAGCACCATCACCAGCATCTAAAACAACTTCGTCTCCATCATCAGCCTGATTTACATTCTCATTTCTATTCAAATCCGAAGCTACCACATTCTGATCTCTAGTTTCAGCCAATTTCTCAGTAAAAAATTCATCCTCACCATCGCCCTTATCTTGAGCCTCAGCCTCAGCTTCACCTTCGGCATCATATCCTTCGTCATGTATTTCATCCTCAGATTGCTCAGGTTCTTCATCCTCTTTTGGCCTCTCCACATCTACATTACTGTCTGAGTTATGCTCTTCATTCTGCCCTTCTTCACCATCTGAACTGAAGTTTCTATCATCATGAAGATCTTCACGTTCTCTACTTGGAAGATGATGAATTGCTGCAGCCTCACTGTTTTCTGAAATATCATGCTCCATAAAAATGTCAAGGTGGGATGAACTTTGCCCTAACAGAACCAAAGGAAACATATCTTCGAGAGCATCATCAAATACATAGTTAACTGTCTTCAGCTCTTTTCCTGCCTCTTTGTACTATATGAACCTGATCGGTGCATTCAACTTTGCGTTAAGCTTGCAGAAGTCAGAAAAGAACTTCCATGTAATTTCTGAGACTTTCCAGTTGACAATTTCAGAACCCAACTCTCCATTGTAGCTGTATTCGTCACCTTCTTTCTTCATAGATCCACCAAAGTGGATTGTGAGTTTTATGGTCGAATTGTCGCTGTAAATAACGAATATGAAGTTGAACGAAGATATATGAAGGAAGAGACATAAAAATCACAAACCCAGAAATCAATGAATGAAGAAGAATTGAACAGCATAAGGACGAAGAAAGCAACAATACCTCATTTCGATCTGAACGCATGTGACTCTTCTTTCAATTTTCTCCTATTTCTCTCCTTCAATTTTCTGGGTTTTAGAACAACGACGAACCCTATTCTCAAATCGAGTTGGGTTTTTTTATTTGGTTGGTTATGCTGTTTTTCTTTTTTCTAATTGATAAAAATTAATTGAGTACTTAGTTTTGATTAAAAATAATTTTGAAATTACCTACGTTTTAGTAAATTAAACGGTAGTTAATTATTCCGTGACAGTACGTTACTGTTCCGTCAAGTTCGGCGGCGACTCGAACAAATTGGCCAGATTGAAAGTTTAAAGTGTATATATAAATAGTATGAAGGTTTAAAGTGTGAGTGAAATTTCTTCAAGGTTTAACTGTTATCTTTTCCAACTTTGAAAGTTTAAAATGCGATTTTCCCGAATTTTATATGCAGAGCAATCATGCGACACGTGATTTCATAATTCCATGATTATACCAAAACCAATAAAAAAAAGATATCAAAGAGACACCTAACCATACCAACCTAAACCAGCGGTTCATGTGTCATCTCTATTCTTTAATGGTGTTCTCATGAATTATGGCGTTACTATAATAACGACTCTTTACGTAAAGACACATGAACGAAACGGTTACATGCATATAACCTTTTTTATGCAAAACGGTTATTTTTGTTTCTTCTCCAACAACATGAAGACAAACATGTTTCCAGAATATGCCTTACACATGCAGCTTTACGTTCATGAATGCATAAGTGAATACTCATAAGTCATAATCATGCAGAGCAAAATTCCAGAATTTTGCCGATATGCACTTGTTCACTAATGCATAATTTAATTGTTAAACTAAACAAATCTAGGATGGCTCTGACACCACATGTAAATTACTTTTATGATTTTATTTATGAAATCTAATTCCAGGATGATTTAGATTTAATTTAATTCAACCACAAACAATTACTTGTACAAGAAGAAAGACTAACCTTGATACATGCTTGATAAAGTTTGATATGGATTCTATTCACCAATTGATTTTCTTCCTTCCTTTGACCTCTAATTTCTTTATAATCCCTTTTGATGGACAAGGAATTTCCTCTTCTCTTTGATCGATAGTTTTCTGTTTTAAGGAAACTTAATTGTTTCTCTTCTAAGTGAAGAGACACGTAATTGTTTTCCCACATCCTTCAACATTAACCACCAACATATATATATGTACAGATAATTGAGTTGCTTTTCCAACATAGTGTACTTTCATATATATGCTTTCATATTATATATATATGTATATATATAACCATATAAGAAAATAATACTTATAAAATTTAATATGGTAAGGGAGGAGGGTTATCAATACACCCAGATTTTAATGTCTTTAATCGAAACCGATCCATCGCGGTATCGTCTTTCATATTAGAGCCGTAAACTTTAATATGAATTTAATTTTTATAATTAAACCGAAAAGACACATAAGTCACATAAGAATATAAATATTCTTTACAAGGACAAGACAATGGAGGTCATAGCTAGTTTTGGATCTTTTCACATCATCAACTTTATGACATAAAGCTAGTTCAAGTTTATGTCTCAGGTCGTTTCTGTGAAGAAGCCTGAAACTCTCAACATGACTCTCAAAGACGATTTAGGTTTTGTTTATCTGTTGATATTATGTGAGTTTATAAATGGTACGTTGAAATCCTTTATTTTCATTTCTTACTTTGGTTTTGGAGTTTATGTTATTTTGATTTTAATTAGTAGGTTCAGAATGTAACTTAAGCTTCTGTTTTGGCTTCAGGGTTTCAGCAGAACCTCCATATTCTTTTGGAAGAGTCTTCGCTCTTGTGTTCGGTAATGAAAATTTTGCATTCCACCTTAACGGCTAAATTTTTTGTTTTGGTATGTTCACACAACCTCAAAAAATCTGAAGCCTTATGTAGGTGGTCGGTCACCTAGTGATCAATGTATCACAATAACTTTGGTCGAATCATCCATGAACTGAGTCTCTTGCGATTTCAGAGTCCATTGTGCACATAAATATTTCAAACTTTCTCCTCATATATATATATATATATGCACTGCACATCTCACATTCTTCAATCTTTTTATTTAAGAGAGTCATGTTGGCAGACAGACTATGTTTCAAGTCTCAGATTGTTGTTGTGAAGCCCGAAACAGAGAATATGTCTTCCAACATGACTTTCAAATAAATTGATGAAGAATGTGGGCCGTGCTTTGTCATTCATGAAGACAAAGGCGGATTTTGTTTTGGATTAGATGAATGAAGTGTGACTAAAGTATGGGAGGGAGAAGTGGATGGAGAGAAGAAGAAGAGGAGTTGACGGAAAAGAATAATAAACTTAGAGATGCCCAATTGACTTTGTAAGTTATTGTGATGCAATGAGGAAGAGACGATGACTCTACTTATTAAAATAGAGAGTACCAAAATAGTGAATATATATCAAACACCAAACCATGCTTGGATTGATTTTAGAAATAACTATCTTTCTTATAAACAAAATACGAATTAAAATTCCAATTAGAACGTGGTCTACATTGACAAAATACTCTCAAATCAAAATTTATGTTCCAATAACACGATTAACAAAGAACATGCTATACTTGGTACTCTATTTAACTTTCGAAAGCAATTGGTACTTGCTCTCTACTATAAAGTTTGACTACCATTTTTAATATAACGATATTTTTGTAACAAATTTAAGTTTATTAACTTCGAAAAAGGTCTCATAAACTTTTGATGGAGTTAAAAAAAAAAGGTATCTCTTATTTTAAGCTTCTATATAACAAATGCTTCTCAAATTGCAATAAAATAATATAGGCTTTTAAAAAAATTCTCATTTAAAAAAAAGTCGTAAAAAATGGATTCTAAATAGACAATATGGACGGCTCTATCTATAAAACTTAATTGCCAGTGAAAATAGAAAAACACTTCACGGTTGACTTTGCTAATTGATTGACGAAGGAAAAATCCAAAACCAATTCCTCAATAGAAGAGACGACAAAACCTAAACCACTAAGTCAACCCAAAACGTTTTTTCTGTCCACTACCTAGTCACACTATGTTTTTGTCTTTACGTCACAAAGTCAAAGCCACATAGCAACAAGAAAAGAAAACTCGATTTGTAAATGTTATGGGGCCTAAGATATAAGCTTACAAAGTTAGCCACGACGGTTGATTTATGAGATATGTGGACATTACAGGGGAAAATAACTAATGATAAGATGACCCATTTAATGGTCGTGTTATAGATTGTCGCAAGTTCAAACATGACAAAATATGCATTATTGCCTTATCTTTAAAAAAAAATTATAAATGTATCATATATAAAATTTTCGTTTTGTCATTATCCAATTTCAACCATATAATACATGTTTTAACAAAGATTAGTACATATGTATATTATATATTTTTCTAAAATGTGATTTACGTTTTATGATTTTAATAAAGATTGTTGTTAATCTTATGATTAAGAGATTCTGAACTAAAGTCCGTGCATTCTTTAGGCCAATAATCAAAACATATAATATGATCACTTCCTAGTACCATTCGATTATGTAATTTCTATACTTCGTCTTTGATACTTTTCTAATCGAGTTAATGGTTTTTTGACGGCTTTTATTATTATGGATTCCACCATCTAAACTTTTTTTGTTTTCGTGTTTAGATGTATTTAGACTCACGGTCTGGATCAAATCCTAGTTATTAATTACAAGAGGAAGAACAACCAAACTCATTTTTTGAAGTCAACAATATATTACAAATCAACAAAACAAATTATTAAACACAAAGTAAACCGAAACTATTCATTATACTATTATATACAGAATGTAATAAACTTATCATAGACCCGTCAAGAAAAGTTTATATATTCAAACATTTTTGTCTTAAAACAACAAAGAATCCTTCTCTCTCTCTCTCTCTCTCTCTCTCTCTCTCTCTTTATCCCTCCACCTGCTTGTATATGTTATCTTGTTCCCATACTCAAATGGCAGAAGAAGAACTTCCTGAGTGGAGGAGAAGGTATGGAAACGAAGCCGTTGACGAGCTTTTCGTTAATGAGCCTCAGGAACATCTTAGACTCATGCCAAATGAAGATTCCATCACCAACAAGTTATTAGTCTCATCAACGCTTTACTCTGGTCCAAGAATCCAAGATATCGCAAACGCTTTGGCCGTGGTCGAACCCCTAACGCACCCATCCCGACAAATCTCAGGATCAACGTAAATATACAAAGAAAATTTTCAATTTCAAGAACTCCTAATACCTTATTATTTTTTCTATAAAATTTACTCATGAGTCTCTTGTTTATCCATATTGATTATTATAAAGGAACCCAATATTGGAAAGGGGTACTTCAAGCAAGGCGGATAGGTTCACATTAAAAGTGAAGAGCAGTTGTAATGGGATGAATGATGATGGATACAAATGGAGAAAATATGGTCAAAAATCCATCAAAAATAGCCCTAACCCAAGGTAGGCATATATACATACTCCGTTTCAGAAACCGTTTGTTTACGTACTATAAAGGAATCTATGAATGATCTATGATATATTGAACTTCTTTGGTTCAGCCAATATCGGCTTGTCTAACCTGTATAATGTATAGTTTTGGTCACAATCCTAACGTTACTACTATTTGTGATTTATGTGTAGGAGTTATTACAAGTGCACAAATCCAATTTGCAATGCAAAGAAGCAAGTTGAGCGATCAATTGATGAGCCTAACACATATATCATCACCTACGAAGGTTTCCACTTGCACTTCACGTACCCTTTCTTCATACCCAAGAGAACGCATAGACCCAATAAAAAGCCCAAAATACTTAAACACGATGCTCAATGTAAACCACATTTCGAAAACAAGCAAAAATCTCAAACACAAGAAGAAAGCAAACAAACCCAACTAGTCGAACCCACCCACCAAAATCATTCGGCTCATGACGCCCAAGAAAACACACCGGCAAACCTCGGAGATGAATTGTTTTTCTCAGTTGACCAGTGCCGGCGGCGACAAGGGCTTCTAGAAGATGTGGTGGCTCCGGCAATGACAAATGTTACGACGAGGGAAGGTGTTTTGGCAGCTTCTTGGTCTTCATTATCGTCTTATACTTCTTCATCAAGCTCCTCTTCTCTGACTAGTTCACCACCCCTTTCTCCATCTTCTTTATGTTGGTCTCCCAATTTTAACGTTGGATTTAGTGATGAAATACTTGAATCATTCGGCTTGTATTAAAGAAACGTTTTTGTATGTTTTATAAATATCAACTTATACTTGAATATATGTCTTGATCAAAGTAGATCATGGACTATGATATATTTCTTCAAACCTTATTTGAGCGTTGTAGAAACTATATAACAAAGTGAGAAAGTTCTTCCAAGGAAAGACCTTATTGTTTTGTTGTCTTTAGGCAGACAAGAACACAACAGAGACTCTTGTCACAGTTTTGCAAAACGAGGTTGTCTTTTCATTATCTGAGCAGAGACAGCTTCGTTGAGATCATCTGATATAAGCATTGCAGAGTTCCAAGTTGCTACGTAGTCAAGGCCTTGTTCTACACTCATCTCTCTGCTTCTTAACAACACTTCCTTTGTCCCTGTCAAAGCTAAAGGAGACTTCGCTGCCATTCCTGAAAAAAGAAAATTTTTTTAACAAATCCAATTCTCATTCCAGAATCAAACTGAAATTGAAAAATTTGAGTACCTTCGGCGATCGTCGTGACGCCTTTATCAAGATCTGACTTAGATCCAAAGACCTGAGAAACAAGACCAAGATCCTTCGCTTCACGTCCAGAGAATCGTCGAGCCGTTAAAGCCAAATCCATGGCGTTTGCGTGTCCGACGATGCTCGGCAATCGCTGGAGCGTACCTAAATCCGCGACGATCGCGAGATCAACCTCCTTGATCGCGAAGAAAGCGTCCTCAGAGCAATACCTAATATCACAAGCGGTGATCAAATCAACACCGCCTCCGATACACGCGCCGTTTATAGCGGCGATGACAGGTTTCCGGCAATGTTCAACGGCGGTGATCGCCGCTTGCATCGATTTGATCCTTCGGCGTAACCGCTCGCTCGAGCGTCCTTTTTCGCCTGACGCGGATCGTTCGGAGATTGAAGAGAGGGAACTGAGATCGATTCCGGAGCAGAAGTGTTTCCCGGCGCCGGAAAGGATGATGACGGCAACATCTGGGTTTTGGTCGAGGGATGTTAGAGCTTTGGGGAATTCGAAGAAGAAATCGAGGGATAAAGCGTTGAGCTGTGATGGTCTGTTGAGGATGAGGTGAAACACGGATGAATCTGTGTTCTTGCGAACGATTTCTAGGGTTTTGTATGACTCCATAGCTTCGATTTTGAAGTTTTGGTGATGATAAGGTTTGAAGAGATTCGAGGTTTGATGATGATGGTGGTTGATGAATCATGAGTTTTTTTGGGTTTGAATGGTTTAGCAGGGATGATTGGAGACGGTTAAGGTGAACCGTTTTTTCGGTTATCAATCGATGAACCGATGAAACAAAACTCGTCAACGTACAGGTGCTTGACCGGCGGGTCAGAGCAAATTTACTGAAAAAATATTTTAGTTTTTTTTTTCTAATTTCTGGTTATTTTTTTTTTGTTTTTCTTTTTTCAAAATTTTAAAAGACTTTTGGAACAATTAAGTGGATAACCAAATGTAAATAATTTTTAAAAAATATTAGGGGTAGACACTTTGGTTTATGGTTTGGTTTCAGTTCGGTTTTTTTTGGTTTTTCAATTTTTCAGTTTTCAAACCATATAAAAACCATATATATTTCGGTTTGGTATGGTTGGGTTTTTTTTCAGTTTTTTGGTTTTTCAGTTTTATAAAAATTGAAACCATAAAAAAACCATTTCTCAATTTGGTTCGGTTTGGTTTGGTTCGGTTACGGTTTTTAGTGAATTTCATAATGATAGAGTTTAAACTTCTATAAACAAAAATAAAATGAATGGTAATAATATATTAAGCTAATAATTGTAAAAAAAATTCAAAGACTAAAAATCTAAATGTAAATCTAAATCATCAATAATGAAAATCAAGATTACAAAAACCTAAAATATAAATAGAAGAAAATTCAGATTCTCATCAACTTCTTTAGTCCTTAGAAAAAATATTATTAAATCAAAAAATATAAGTTATTTATTTATTTAATATTAAATCTAAAAACCAGAAAACTCATTCGGTTTTACGGTTTTAAACCAAACCACCGAAACTAAAATTTCAATAAAAATGAAAACCAAATGGGTTTTTAGGTTACCCATAACCAAAACAAATTTACATATTTCGGTTCGGTTCGGTTTGGTTTTATTAATCATGGTTTTTTTGTCCACCCCTAAAAAATATAGTCAATGATTTACTAAAATTAAGCAAATAACAATTGACGTAATTCCACGTTTGTAGATGGTTTCACACTATTGGTGGTTTTCAAATGACAACAAAAAAAAAGCATTGGCTGGAATAGCGAAAAATATGTAGATGCAAATCAGAAGAGGGACTGAGTTTCTATAATTTGGTAAATGTTAATATAGCATTACTGACCAAACATATGTGGAGATTATAGACAAAATGCGGTCTTTGTTCGTAAGGGTTTTGGAAGGAAGATACTTCCGGAACCGGATTCCTTAGATCTTATCTAATCTTATTTTCCATCATATAAGTAAAATCTCTGGTTATTAAAAAGCTAATTAAAAGAGTCAGATTCAAGCACTTCCATTTTAATATGAAATGATCTTTGGATACCTTCTTCTTGTTAGACTTTTGTTAAAACACAAAGAATGAGAGACAAAAGTCCAAGAGAAGAACGAGAGACTTGGACGAAAGAGAGAACAAAGTCAAATCTGAAACCATGTTTCTTTATTATTCTCGAGAACTTTACATTAAGACAATAATAACACTTATATAGTTGTCTACATAACATAACCGTAAGCACCCATTGGTAACAGTTGTAACTTATCAAACAAGTTACAACTCTTACACACACCTTTTGGCTTAGCATACATAATTGGACTTATATAATTATAAATAAAATACGACCAAACTCAATTATCAATTAACACTTCCCCTTAATTGAGTTTCGGTCTAACCCTAAGACATTTTCTTAGTCCTTCAGACCTCGTGGTGCTGTTTGTAAGTCTTCCTCATAGACTTCTTCTTCTTCATTGTCATCACCATAAGTGAATATGGCTGGAACATGTGGAGATTGATTATTCATCGGCAAGACCAATTCTTTTTTTTTTAAAAAAAAATTCCTCTTACGTGAACTTCTTCTCAATCTCCCCCTGTTTCGATTCTCCTTGATCGAACTCAGCTTCTTCTCCAGAGTCGAATCTCTGTTTTTTTTTTTTTGGTTTGCTCCGCGAGCCTTGTCCATGTCTCATACGAGTCTTTCGTGAGCTTTCCTCACATCTTATGCGTGAATCTTTTCCACGTCTTTTTCAAGTTCCTCAAGAACTTCCTTACGTCTCTTTGATGACTCATGCATGAATCTTCTCCACGTCTTCTTCAAGTTCCTCAAGAACTTCCCTCACGTCTCTTTGACATCTAGTGCGTGAATCTTCTCAACGTCTCTTTGAAGTCGTTACGACTCATGCGTGAATCTGATACTGTTAGGGTTGACTTCGCGGCTTCATGTTTTAAATTTATAACCCTAGATATCTGCAAGTGCACAGCAATGCGTTGTAGTACCTAGGGTGTCAATCCACAGAGAATCCACGCTTTACCTGCATAAGCTTAGAACCAGAATTAGCAAACGAAGTCTAAGACGAAAAACGGAGTTTTGGATAGGTTGTCACGATTCTAAAATGTATTTTAAAAAGAGATTTGAAAAGGGCTTGAAAAGGATTTCAAAAAGGGTTTTTTTAAAAAGGGTTTTAAAAACAGTTTTAAAAACTAGAAGTGAATAAATCGATAATAAATCTAAAAGATGAAAAAAGCTCTTAATATTGATCCTATTAAATTCTTAGAACTCGAGTCACGGACGTATGAATACGCCACTGTCGTGATCATAGACAACTATCTCTCTCAACCCTGACTAGTAGGTTTCCACTCTGGCCCTGGAAGAGAAAAGATGCATTATGTTTAAGAGTAGTCAGCATTCACAAATCGCCCATAGGTAGGTTTCCACTCTTATGTTTGTTTTGCTATCCCAAACTATATCTGGCCCCGGATGAATACTTTCGCATCACCAAGGACCTGGATCAGTCTCTAGTTTGCGACGCTAGATCCATGCTTTAAGTATAAATTCAAAAGAAAGATTTCTAGAATTCGGCTTTGGTTTATCTCGCGAAGATCCCTATCGATCATAGTCGATTCCCTTCGATCGAGCCTTTAAACTCATACCTCATCATTCGAAAACGTGCATAAAGTAAATAGAAGAGACATGCATAGAATAATAAGAAGAAAGAAGTAGAGAAAAACAGACAAGAAGAAGAAGAAGAAGCATCTCGATTTCGAGATCTAAGCTCGGAGAAGAATTTCTCTTCAAATCCTTTAAACAACTAATCTAATATGAAGAAGATAAAAACAAAATTGAAAGATGCATACGAGTAAAAACCGAATTAAAATAAAGGTAGAACATAAAGAGGGTTCAAGAGAAATCTCTATCTCCCTAAACTAAGAACTAAGAACATAAAAACCCTAGAAAACTAAATTTGGTGGCTCCCAAAAGGGATTCTTCTGAAGCACACGAAATAAGGCTGCTTAGGTACATATTTATAGGTCTTCAACTCTCTTCAGTCGTCCTTAGGGTTTTCTATGAAGAGAAGACGAATTGGCCTTGAAATGGAGTCATGGGCCAGCTTTTTAGTTGGCCCTGGTCGCGAGGCTTCTGACCCCGGTGAATTGGGGTTTGGCCGCGGCCAAAGACTCGTAACCGCGGTCGAGAGTGTGTTCCCCACAGTCGTGGCTCCTGGACCCGCGGATATTGGTCTGTGAGGTGGAATCTTCATTCTGCGCTTGCTTCCTTCGTGAGACTGCAGAACATGTCTTCAGTGCATCAAGGATATCCGGAGATCTAACCATTAGATTTTCTCCAAACTAATTGCATTTAAAAGCTAGTTGTCTCCTTTATATTAGGTACAATTTTGGGGATGATCAGACGGTGAGAGGGTCTCCATCAAATGTAAAACTTCTGACAGTCTGAATTTATCCAAAATGATCTTTTGCTCCAAAATGCACACATTTTTCCTTAATAACCTGAAAAGAGTCTTGGAACTACAAATACTAGAAAATAATAGTAAAAATACTTAAAATAAATAAAAAACATTTGAAAAGAATTTAAAATCGATCCACAAAAGTGGTCAAAATATGGTGTTATCAGAATCTTTCTACGACTTCTTCAAGTTTCTCAAGAACTTCCCTCACGTCTCTTTGACGTCTAGTGAGTTTTCTTCACATCTTCTTCGGTTGTTTCTAAAACCGATTCCTGCTCCCTTCTTCGGTGAGCAGCGTCCTTCCTTGCTTGGTGTCTTTCTCTGATCACCAGCCATGGTTTTCTGCCTTCTCTATCTTTTTCAACAGGTGGCACCCTCAGTGTGATTTCTTACATACCACACCACGTTTTCATAATAAGCCTTGCTCTGTTTCTTTCAACAGGCGGCTTCCTCCGTGAGATTTTTTTTTCTTACACACCACACCTCTCTTTGAGATTTTCTGGTTTAAAACTAGAATCTCTTCTTCTTGGTCGTGCGTTAGATGCACCTTCATACGTGTTTCATTCTGTGAAGAAACACAGTTTTCTTCTTGTGCTTGAATGATTCATACCAACTAGGCTACAGACACTGTACTTAACTCCGTTAAAGCTTCCTACCTTGGATTTTCCATTACACCAATTTTGGTGTCTACTCTGGTTGCGTCGGTTAGTCCGGAACACCGTTATCCACCACCGCCATAATTCTCATATTATTAAGATAGTCTTCATCTTTATACACTTTAGAAATTATCATCTTCTCCACCAAAGATGAGAATCACTTGTTGGTGTTTTTCTTGCCTTGGTTTCTGTTTTTACTAGAACTTTTAGCGTGGATTTTGCAGTTTCTTTTGCTTCTCTTTGTGCTTCAATCTTCCCAATCTTACACCAACTCTGATGATTCTTCACGGGAACCACACTCCACACGCGAGATTGAGAATTCTACTTCCCCGAAGGCCAATCACAGTGAACAGCATAACCACTGAATCTCTCAAAGAAATAATAATTTAGGTTTCTCAACATTGATGGCTGTCTCCATTTCTTTTCTTCTTACAGCGGACTTCTTCTTATTCTTGTTTTATTTGGACAGGCTCCAAGATCAAGATAAGCTCTGATACCATGTTAGACTTTTGTTAAAACACAAAGAATGAGAGACAAAACTCTCAAGAGAAGAACGAGAGACTTGGGCGAGAGAGAGAATAAAGTCAAATCTGAAACCTTGTTTCTTTATTAGAGTTAATGCATGAAACTATCCTCCTAAGCATGGTTTATTGCCAGTGTATCCTTGGATAAGTCTACCTTGCTAGACTATTCTTAATAAGTTTGTCAATGTCCATTTTACCCCGAGGATACACAGTATTACAGAATTTCCATTTTCAATTATATTATTTTATTTTTAAATAGATATTAATAAAAATAGAAATAGGTTAAAGTTAAGATTGAGGAGTTGTTGGTTTCTGAAAAAAAAAGAACGATAGCGGCGACGGCGAAGGTGAAAAGGAACGAACAAACTTTGTCGACCAGATTCCGGCGGAGATAGAAGGTTTTCCGGTAAGATCTTCTTCCTGACACTTCTAAATTCTTTCCTCTTTGTTTACAGAAGTTTCTGCACCGTTCAAAGCATCTGCAGAGTTTTTCGACGATTTTTAGGGTTTGAGTCGCCGCAGATTTTCGAGGAGTTGCCGGAATTTCTTTGCGAAAACCTTGCGGCGCCGTTTTAGTTTTCGACAGCAAGGATTAGACAGCGAAAATTACCTTGCGGCGCCGTTTTTTTTGGGTAAAATCTAACCCTAATTTTTTGTTTGCAGGTGTTAGAGAAATTCCCGGTGGGTTAGAGGAAATCCGGTGAGGGTGAAGATCTGCGGTGAGTTAGGGTGATATTATGGTCGATTTATTGTTAAGTAAGCTGAGTTTTTGTTATTGGTATATAAAATGAGTAGTAGACTTGTTTCCATAAAGACTAGTATACTTGTTCATAAATGAGAAAGAGTAGTAGACTTGTCGGAAAAGCAGAAAGAGTAGTAGACTTGTTCAGTAAAGATAGAGTTTAGTTTAGTAGACTTGTTCATAAATGATTGAGGGTGGTAGACATGTTCAGTAAAGATAGAGTTTAGTTTAGTAGACTTGTTCATAAATGATTGAGAGTGGTAGACATATTCGTATAGTGAGTGGTAGACTTGTTCGTAAATGATTGAGGAGTGGTAAACATATTTGTATAGAGAGTGGTAGACTTATTTGTAACTGATTAAGAATGGTAGACTAATTCTTATTACATATATGCAGAGATGGCCTCTTCTAGCAAGACAAAGGAGTACCCATCCACACTATTTTCGCCTGGGAGATCACCTCTGCAGAAGAAGAGTTTCCATAAATGATTGAGAGTGATAAACTTATTTTGTATGTCAAACAGTTATGACGGTAGACTTGTTATGTCTACCCTGACGAAGGTAGACTTTTATTGTTTTGTATGTCGAACCCTAACGACGGAAGACTTCTATGGCGGATTCTTTTAGGACATATTGATGAACTAGACTTAAAAAGGACCATGATGTTTTTTGGCATGATGTTGGTTCTTTAAAAATTTGGTATATTTAATGTTAAAACGGTTAATTATTGGAATATTTTGCATCAATTAGGTCGACAATATTTTTTTTTAAAAAGTACGACAATACAAGTACTAGAAGAGAGTACAAAAATGAAGCAAGTGTTACAAGTCTAACAAACCGATTATTACAAGAAAGTAGAAAATTTAGGCTTTACATGTGATGCGATTATGTCCACTTTTACCACAAGTAGAGCATTTAGGCATCTGTCTTGGACGTTTGTTCGTTGTCGCGATCTCGAATGCACTCTTAATGCGTGTCTTCTTTGGTCTGCCTGGAGGATTGCGAACGAAAACAGTATGAAAAATTTTGTTAGCCATTTCTTCTGGCACTGGTAGTGCTATATCTCTTGGCATTACACTTCCTACGTAAGCATGTTGCAAGTAATTTGTTTGATAGTAGGGATGGTATAGGGAGATTCGTGAAGTTTTTCTTGCTTCCTCAGCGGCTATGGCATGTACACAAGGGATTTTATCAAGATCAAACCGACGGCAGGTACATGTTTTTTCTTTCAAATTGACAACATGGGCAGAAGTTGTGCCAATAACCTCTGACTGATCTGCATCAATAACTTGCACAGCCAAAAGTTTGGCATCTTCAACCCTGATCTGCTTATAAAACATGTGAATAAGTCTACTACAAATGCTACTTCAAATAATATGTTCACTATAAAATATAAATAAGTATACTACAAGTGGTTATTCAAATAACATGTCTACCATAAAATATAAATTTTCAAGTATCACACTTCGACGGCTGCAACCCTAATCGAAGAAGATGACACAATCAGTTTTTTTTGTAATATCTACGAACAAATTTGGGCAAAAATGTCTTTTCAAATTTTAAAATAGTCAAATGTCTACTATAAACTAGCTTCATAAGTCTACCATCACCCAAATAATTATAAGTCTACTAAACTGAAGATTATTTTTCAAAGTGCAGGTTAATTGAGTAAGAACAAAATACAAACATAAGTCTACCAGTATTGTAAATTACAAATATTAAATCTACCAAAATTTAATAAAACCTATCATACTTATAATTAAATCTACCACATTATTTTCTAAAATACGACTGTTTTAAGTCTACCATATATACGAATAAGTCTACTAACTCCTGATAAAGCTACTATTAATAGCAATAAGTCTACCAAGCAAAATAAGTCTACTGTACATCAAACTAAATAAATCTGTCACCATTACAAATAAATCTGTCGCCATTACTATTTAAATCTGTCACCATTACAAATAAATCTGTCGCCATTACTATTTAAATCTACCAAAAAAGTCAAACACTTACGATAAGTCAACGATATTTTCATAAGTCTATTATTAAAGATAATAAATCTACCAACAATAAATATGTCTACCAACACAAAATAAGTCTACTATGCTATAAAAATATGTCTACCAAAACAAGTCTACTAAGGTTCAACAAATCTACCAACTCTCAAATAAATCTACCATCAAAAAATTGCGTTGACCAAATTCAAACAAGTCTACTATAAATAATGGTAGACTTATGCATAATGTCGCGATACTTTTTGCTTACGTGGCATATAAAAAATAATAGCATTTTCGTAATAATGTTTTTTTCAACAAAGCCCAAAAGGGCAAGATCGATCGGTATACGAGGTTAATTTAGCATAAACAATAAAAGTGTGTCAAACTATTAATAAACATTGGTTTGCAGGATACTTGAGTAATCCACCCTTCTTTATTATTCTCGACAACTTTACATTAAGACAATAATAACACTTATATAGTCGTCTACATAACATAACATAACCGTAAGCACCCATTGGTAACAATTGTAACTTATCAAACAAGTTACAACTCTTACACACACTTTTTGGCTTAGCATACATATTGGACTTATATAATCTATACTATAAAATATGCTCAACTCTTTCCAAATTTGCGACACGTCAGCATCTTTAAAAGTGCCACGTGTCTTCTTTCATAGTTTGATGCTCACGCGCTTTTACTCATGCCTTCTTGTCTTCTTCTCTTTAGTTTTGAATTTACTCTGGACATTAATTTTTTCCTGCGTTTGCTCTTCTACTCTTCCCTCATTTATACGAAAATCAATTCATTTTACTTTTCTCATCTAACCATTCGTTCTTTAAATCTACCAGGAGAAATATTGATACAAATGAGTGGGAGATTGGGTCTTCTCAGCTTCGCCTCTCTTCCATGGAAGCCACAAGCAAGGTAAGCGGCTTTAGACTCAAGAAAGAGATTGTGCTGGTAAAGTGTTCTAGGCATTCATAATCCATTTAAACGAAATCTTGTAACATCATTTCTGGGTTCGCAACAAATGCAACGATTATGGTGCTTATATAGATCATTCTCGGGTATTTTTGTTCTTAGGGACTGAGTATGAGTGTACGACACAGGTCTGTTTCACATTGAGTATTGCCAATGAATCTATCAAGGTAATTTCTCGTATACTCTAGCTACTACAGTATATCGCTTCCCTAGAAAATAGCGGCTTCCAGAATATTGGGGGAAACGGGGTTTTCCTGTGTTGACAAAGAGCGAGAATCAAAGATAGTGTTCTTTTTTGATTAATTTAGTAATGTGCTATGTTGGTATATGCGTAGATTGGGTGTGTGCACTTGTGTATCCATTGATTCTCAAGGCTTTTGAATTGTTGCAGCTTGGTTATACTGAGGAGTTGATCTGAAGTCCGAGAAGAGTATCCCTTTGCGCCTCGTCTTTGTATTAACAGTCTTGCTACGTTCAGCAAAATACAACTGGTTGATTCCGATTCATTCAACTTTCCATTGTAAGCATCTTAGATGTAATCTTTTGTTTTTATCTGTCTTTAGTGGGTTCTATTTGCATCACAAAACTTAATCTTGGTGAGGCATGAGTCATAAAGGTATAAAACAAAAGTAAAATCATTTGAAGTTTACCAATAATAATAGTCACACACTACTTTGTCAGTCTCTCTTTTAATCTTCAGAAGCGGAGCAGTATGGAGAAGACAATGGCAATTGATGACCATATAGGTTGTCCAATGAGTATCTGATTGCTGATGCACGCACGAGCGAAGACTCAAGTGACATCTCAGTTTTTGCTTCTCGTGGTTCCTTTCTTACATCAATATGTTACCAACTATTTTTTGTTTCTCTGTAGCCTAGAACCACAGCTTCTCGTATGGTGAGCCAATGAATGTAGAATCTACAAGACAAGCTTTGTGTGATCTGGCGTTATGGTTTGGTGAAGGACATGAAGAGTCAATGGTAATAACTGCCCCATTACTCATTAATATCACAGGAAGAGTCACTAATAACAGGCTGAATTTACTCTCGTCTAAAAAGTTTCGTTATGTCTATTCCTCTATGTTTCTTACTATTTACCTTAATAGATACGTAAATCGAATTCCCCTTCTTTCACTGAACTACAATGTTGTCAGCCAGTGAGCCACGAGGATGGAATGTCTGTCGAGACGGTTTTTGGGAGAAAAAAGCTCCTTTCAGTAAGGCCTTTCCAATCACAAAATTTGTCTTTTTACTGAAACTAATACTCAGTATCACTGGTACCGAAGTCTATTTACGATTTCGACATCTAAAGGAAATGGTATAGTCTTTTCTTGACCCAAAGACCACAGCTAAGATTCAGGTAATTAAGCTTTCCTTTCATTTCAAGATCCAAACTTTACTTCTTTTTCCACTTGAAAGACTATAGTCTATAGCAGTCTCGGTTGGTTAGTAAAAAACCACTGCTTCTGTTCATTAATGGCAGGTTCTTGGCAACCAATACCAAAGCAAACTGCTAGAAATCATTCACGCCAAGTGCTAACTTGATAACTCTTTACATGTGACTTTGGAACTGTTGTTTTATCTTCAGATAAGCATCTAAAGACTCTCTCTTCTCATTGTTTGTTTAGTGAACTGCCTTTGTGGGTGGTACTTGTACCTGCGCAGATAAAGACGAATCTATGCATTCAGACAAAGGTTCATGGAACGACCCCGAGATCTTAATACATGGAAGTCGACAACGTTGCAAGTAAGACGGCAGTCTTTTATCCTGTAGTGCCTTCTTCGGAAATGAATGTTGTGTATGGTTGACAGCTGTTTTGTGATTTCTCACAATTTTGCTTACAATACCCATCCATTTGGTTATGTATTTGCATGGTTACTTGGTGTGTAATGTGCATATTTAAGTTGTACTATATATTTATATAATAGAAGAACAAAAAAAAAAACCTCATTGACTTGGCTAAAGATTTGATCAATGTTTTTTTTTAATTGAATTACATCCGGAATATTTTCAATTTTGAATTCATATCAAACTCCACAAAAGTAACACAGTTTTGATTTGGCTAAATGTTTGATCAATACTCATTGTATGTAGTCACAATTTTGAATTCATATCAAACTCCAACAAAACGAGTTCTCACTATGTCACCTCATTAGCCAAAAACAATGTCCTTTCCTCACTCTAACTGCAATCTATAACTATTGATTCATGGTTGTGACTATAAATTTATATTCATTAAAGTTTTCTTGTACGTTCTAAAATTGGCAAATCCAGATATCAAAAGTCCATCACATAAGCAATTTCATGAGAATAAACCAAAACTAATTACATGGGATAGCAACTTTTTGGAGAATGATGATAATGTGACTTAGATAATAAAATTTAGATGATTTTGCAAATATTTTAAACAAACATTAAAAAAAACTGTGCGTATGCGCGGATACTCACCTAGTTATAAATAAAATACGACCAAACTCAATTATCAACTAACACTTCTCGCCTGAGGCCTGTCACCTGTAAGGATTATAATTATTATCTGAGTTTAAAAGTTAATCATCGGATTGACCCACTAACTACGTGGAATCACGGTTTAATTACTGCAGTTATTGGCCCAGTGAATGTAGAGCTAATTCGTGGTATGCCTATAAACAGTACATATAACCAAATTTCTTTAGATGGCATTTTACAAAGTCTAGAAAATATACGGTAAAGTCTGGTTATTAAGTGGAGTATCAGTACTCACAGAGCGGCCTAAAGATTATTTATGGACCAGATATAAGAAAATGTTGATATGTGTATATCGATAAGGGACAAAACAGTAACTTAGATCGAAAATTCGAATTTTATTAGATCGGTCGAGAATACAACTGAGTTCGTCTATGTAAATAATAAACGAACTAAGACTTAGGAAATTAAGAAGTTAATGAATGCCTTGAGCTCTCAATCTCCAAGTCTCTCCGGAATTTTTCGTGTCCTCTGGTGTCGATTCCTCTCCCTTTATATATGTCTTCTAAGTTGGTCTTCGTGAGTCTTTTCTGCGATATGGGATCGAGAAGACTTTCCTTTTCTCTCGGTCTTTTTCCTTTTCTCATGATAATTTCCTTTCATCTCGTCAATTTCCTTTTTCTACTCGGAAACTTTCTATTTTCTTCCGAACTCAGAGAACTTCTTGGTTCCTTCGAGAAGTTTCCGACCAACTTCGGCTTGTTGGGCTACGTTCGGCCCAAGAACTCACTCGGCCCAATATTCTCGGTACATTTCCTTTGTAAACCGGGCTTACGTCGTGCCGATCTCGGTTTGTACCGGAGAAAACCGGGGGTGCGGTTTTCACCTCCAACAGTTAGCCCCCCCCCTCAGTTCGATGAAAGGGTACGGCTTTTAGTCGAACTCATTTGATCTAAACTTAAAAGTAGGTCACAAACCGAGCTCGGTAACTGCAATCGATTCACTTTCCCGCACGTTTCACAACCTGTCTTCAATGAGGCGCGTGAATTCCGGGATTTTGCAAAAATCAAGGAACCACGATTCCCACTGTTTATAAAGGAATAAATCCCCAACACATTCATTATTCTCGCTCAAGCATATATAAGGTACGCTGCTCTCCCTTCTCTCTAGATTTTGTTTCTCTCTCTAGGATTTTATTCGCAGTTCTCTCTAGTTTCTTCTAGTTTCTCCGCCGCAATCTTTTGAACTTTCCGATCAATCTTCAAATTTTCCGATCAATCTTCAAGTTCTTCGATCTATCTTCAATCTTTTCGATCGATCTTCAACCTGTTCTTCATTTCCTTTAGATCTTCCTTCAACTCCGTTTCTCCGAACTCAGAATGTCTTCTAGCTCTTCGATCAACTCTTCTTCTAATCAAATTCTGCCGGAAGATCGTCGCGAATCTTTGGAGCCGAGCTCCTCTTCTTCAAACCCTCCTTCACCAAACTCTTCCCAAAGGGAAAGTAATCTTCCGCAGCTGGTCCGCAAAAATTCTAGATCGGCTGGTGCAAATAGTAGCCGATCTCGACCGCGAGTTGAAGCGCCTGAGCAACTGGCAACAGAGACTCGTGAAACTGGAGCTTGAGCTGGGCCGAACGCTGATGGCGTTAACCACGAGATCGAGGAGGTTGCGGAATCCGAAGAAGAGAATCACGAAGGAAATGATACCAAAATGCCGAGGAAAACCTTGAAGCAGTGAACCACGCATCACCACCAATTACAAAGCGAAGAGTTTTCCGTCCTCATGATGTGCCGTCTTCTTCTCTTTCTCTGGGTGCAGTTCAGGCCGTACTCGAAGAAAACAGGCTCTCAGATAAGGTCATCTTCATAATACCTGAAGCTGGAGATCGGCCATGGGACGTTCCCGAAAGCTTCCTCTGCATCTACTTGACGTACTTCACGCAATGCGGGCTCTCTCTTCCAATTCCCTCTCGTCTGCTTGGATATTGCAATCGGCGTGGCGTAGCCCTCACTCAGACGATGCCGGCATCGGTGACGAACTACGTAGGCTTTGTCACTCTGTGTACTGAGCTCGATGAGATTCCGACTAGTCGGCTCTTCGAAGACCTCTTCTCGGTCAATATCCACAAGTCCAAGGATTGGTTCTTCGCAGCGAACGCCAAGCCGAGGAAGGACATCGTTACTGGGGTTAAACCCAGTAAATTTAACGACTGAGAATCCCAGTACTTCTTTCTCGAGATGAACGATCTCACAGTCAGCAATTCTGACATCCCAACTCAATCGGAGTGGAAGATTCCGATCGGTAGATCTAGACGATCTTATACTTCGTTGATTTTTGTTTTCGTATCTTTCTAACTCCTTTTTGGTGCATCTTTGCAGGTCGTCATCTCCCAAGCATTATTCTCAACTCCGGACTCACTTCCGAATTCCAAGCAGCTTTTAGTGAAGCCGGCAAACATCGTTGGCCCGAAGTTTGGGAAGAGATTCTTCAGCACCGAGCTAAGAAATCAGGTTTGATTAATAGTTTCACTTTTAGATCATTACTTTGAGTTTTTCCGAACTCTTCCTTATATGTTTTACAGCTTCTGTTAAGGAACCGAAGCCCCTGAAGCCAAAAAGTAGAGCGAACAAGCCTCTAGCTGCTCCTAGACGCAAAGCACCAAAACCGCAATCTAGACGAGCTCGAACTGCCAGGATGCTTTCACTAGACGAGATCCCTACTCTGTTCGATGAGGAGGAACCGAACGTTGCAGATCCGGCTCCTATCCCTGCCACTGAAGGGATTAATGAGCAGCTCGATGAACTGCCGCCTGCTGCGAACTCGCCTGACCTGGCCGGTCAGAAGAAGCTGAAAAGGAAGAAGTCCTCGAAGAAAATAAAGAGGATTGAAGGTTCTTCTCGTGTGCAGGATGCCACCACCGAGCTTGATCCTCCGACGGCTGCGACGTCAGACCTCGCGATTCCTCAGGTTAAACCTGAAGCCTCTAACTCCGGAAGAGGCAAGAAAGAGGTCATGCCGAGGACTCTCCAGAACCAGAACCAGCCAAAAGGACTAAGATGTGTTTCGATTACGATGAGGAAGGTCCTTTTGAGGAGAACGTCGACGCCTGTGCCGACCTCAACCACAAGATCTCCACTGAGGTCCCGAGTCTCTCGGCGATCTCCGAGCTCCGGTTCCCTAATCTGTACAAAGGGATCGCGCGTACAACTGCCGTGGTAATTTCCTGATTCCATTCTTCTATTATTTCTTTTCCTAAGTATGAGTTCTGACTACTTTTTCTTTTTCGCAGCTCGCCAGCCAGACCAACAATTTGGTTGCGGCATATGAGGTTGCTCTGTACGATGAACAGGTGAGGGTCGCGGAGCTGGAAAAACGGATTTCTAAAGCTGAGGAACGTCTTGCCACCGAGCTCCAGATAAACGACAGTCTTCACACTGCTGTCACTTGCTGAAGCGGGAGAGTTCGGAGCTTAAGGCTGTGAGAGCCGAACTGACCGAAGCTCAGAACTTGCTTTCTCGGGAATTCGAGAAAGATAAGGAGCGATTTCAGGGTTTAGTGGCGCATTGGAAGGGTCGGGCGAAGAGCGTTCACGCGAAAGCCTGCGAACGCTTAGAGAAGGTCATCCAAAGTCTGGATGATGCTGTCAGGCTCGTAAGCCTTACCTGGTGATCAATCAGCTTACCGGAGTTCTCGGCTTCATCAAACAGCTTAAGAAGAAAGGTTTGTATGAAGTTCCACCCGAGATGGTGGCCGAGATCGAGACGAAGCATGCTAAGGCGCTACAAGACTTTCGTGCGGTAGATGCTTGCGTCCTCACGGAGGAAGATAAACGAATGTCTCCGTTTCCGGAAGAGGATGATGATGCCCCGGTTGGGAACGTAACTCAAAGCGCGCAGGATCCAGCGAGAGGCGAGCAGTTTGGCTTAAATGATGAGATACTCAATGCCGATCAAGCTGCGACTTCGAAGACTGTTTAGTCTTTTTACTTTTTCCTTTAAGTCGAACTCAGTTGCCCTTTGATGGGTTATTTTATATGTTTATGTAATATTTTGTTTATTTCTGAACCCTCGGTGGGCTTTTAAACTTATTTGCCTTTCGAAAGGCTGTATGATATGCTTTTTTGTTCTATTTGCGGAAGTATCTTTTTCTTAATTTTTCCTTAAGTAGTAGATCGATGTTTAGTAAGTGGTGTTCGAACTTAATTTTATCTTTTGGTAGCGAATTGCGTTAATTCGGCTTATATATGCAAGTGTTGAAAACTTGGCTTTTAGTGCGAATCTGAGGAGTTCGGCTTGTTGTGCAA